GTTACAAGTTACAAGTTTCGGCTTCCGGTTTGAGCCCTCTTCAGACATTAGTATAACGAACAAGTATTAGAATCAAATCAATCGTCGCAAATGATCGCATGTTCCGAATATTATCGATTCGGGTGAGTCTTGGTCTCGAACCATAATTCCCGCATGATTGAATTGTCGTGAAGTATTAATGAAGTAATACTTTCAAGTAATACTTTGAAGTAATACTTATTACTTAGTATTAATAAAGTAATACTTTTTTTATTAATGAAGTATTAATTTCTTAAATTAATACTTCACGACAATTCAATCATGCGGGAATTATGGTTCGAGACCAAGACTCACCCGAATCGATAATATTCGGAACATGCGATCATTTGCGACGATTGATTTGATTCTATTACTTGTTCGTTATACTAATGTCTGAAGAGGACTCAAACCGGAAGCCGAAACTTGTAACTTGTAACAGCGTACTCATTTACTAGTTTATAGTCCAATTTTTTACGTGATGTAACAATTCTTCATCGCTATTAATATAATATATATTTTTATGAAAATTTAAGAAATATGTTTGACTCTTACTTCGCCCGAGATTGAGTTTTGTTATTATGTTTTGAAAGAGTCCTTTATTTTGTTTATTTATTGTAATTTTTATATTATATTGTATTACATTATATTTTGTTTTCTAATTACATAATCCTTAACCATTATTACTATTAAATTGTATAGAGAATCATCTTTAGCCGATATATTAGAAGGTATACCACCTACATTTTCCCGAAAGCCGAAAGCGAAATATGTAAATGAAGGTGACGATGTGATATTGGAATGTCGATTGGTCGCTGTACCGGAACCAGAAATAACATGGCATCACAAAGACGTACCAGTAATTAGTCAACAGAACATTATTGTTGCAACTGAAAGTGACATGCATATGTACTGCAGTGTCGTAAACTTCACTAAAATTCAAAAGAAGCAGGAGGGAAGATACAAAATTATTGCTAAAAACAGAGAGGGCGAGGCTACTATTGATATTCCTGTAAAGGTTGGTCGACAACATTTGTAAATTCATTTTTACATATTACACATAATATAATTAATACATCTTCTGATGGAACAGGTAAAAACTGGAAAGAGCGAACCACCTGAAATTTTAGAACCATTACAATCCTATATAGTTAAAGAAGGTGAGACTGTTGTCTTATCGACTCAAATAGTCGGTAATCCATCACCGAAAATAACATGGTACAAAGACGGGAAGCCGTTAAAGGGCTCGCAATTAAAGCAAGACGGACATGTTAATACATTAAACTTGATCCAACCTCAAATAGCAGATAGTGGGGAATATTCGGTTACAGCTATCAATGATATGGGCAAAGCTGAGACTCGGGCTACATTGACTGTTGAGAGTAAGAGCAATTACGTCTTCGCATTACGACATTTCAATGTTTCGCTTTAAGGCACACAAGAAACTAAGCACTAAGAAAGTAAGCAGTAAGTAAGCAGTAAGAAATGAACAATAAACAAATCAACATTTTGTATTTGCTACTGCTGACCTTATCGTCTTACGTGCTCTATCGTGATTACTTATTGCTTACGTCTCATTGCCTTACATTTCTTGTGTGCCACAAGGCTGTCGCGCATACTTTTCATAACAAGACGGAAGCACAAAATCTTACGTAACGCATAATACATAATGCATAAGAAAATGAACTAATCAAAATCCTTAATTTCCTTCCTTTCTATGAAATAAGAAACTCTGATTAGTTGATTTTCTTATGCTTTATACATCCTATGCTTTGAGAGCGTGGCAAATCAGATAGCACACTGATCTACTGTGCTAGAGATTCCCAATAGAATCAAAATATTTTTATATGCTCGTGTCTCTCGCAAAAGGAAGCGGCAACCTTCCAAGAGTATTTTTGCTAAAAACTTCTTTAATAAAATTTTGTCGCTCCAAATCGACGTTAAACTATAGGTTCCATATGACTGTGTACAATCAGCGTGCGCACCACAGGCATATAACAGAATTAAGTCATCATGCTCGGCCACGAGCAATAGGACTGAGAATATGCATTATGACTTTATGCAAAGATCTGTGCTCTGTAAGCTTTAACCGTAAGACGTACCGTAAAAATTAGTCTATATCTACAATAGGTGTTTAGGCCTTAAGCCATAAGTGACCTTAAGCCTTGATTGACCTGCAATTACAGTCGAATACGAGGAGAATAATTGACTGTGATTCGTCCATTTCTTATGACTTAAGACTTAAAAAGCTATTGTACATCCGGGTTTAGTCAATTACAATTAAGAATTATCAAAAACGTAAGATTATTCTTTCTTTTCCAACTCTGATTCTTACGATAAGTCTTACGATCACGGAAATTATATGCCCTTTTCTTGCTATGTTCGCTTTTTCGTTATATTAATTCATTCTTTTCGACAATTGGCATTTGCTATCAGCTAATAGACGTAAATGAAATATAAACTGAAAGAAACTAAATTGCGTTTTATTTTAATGTCTTCTTAGGCAATAAAATATGTCAGCTTGTTGTTGGATGCTATTTTACAAAGCGCTTCTTTACTAATATGCTTTCAGTTAACTCCATATCACAAGTCAACATTAATTTTCAACATTGTATAAACGACAAGTGTGTCTCGTTTGTTAAGGGTATGATACGTATTTATTATTGCTATGCTGCTAATTGTTTAATACAATTATAATTTTGCATATAAAATGGATTCTTTATTGTAATACTTTTGTTATATTTATGAAATTTAGAAGTACCAAGTGGCGCTCCAGAACCACCATTATTCACCAAACGTTTCCAAGAGGTAATCGTTCCGGAAAAAGATACTTTTAAGTTAATTGCCAAAGTTACTGGTAATCCCGTTCCCGAAATTACTTGGCTTAGAAATAACAAACCGCTTGATAAATCGGTCAATATCATAGAAAGTTATGATGGTGAGAATATCCTACTTGAAATTAAAAATGCAGACTCTGAAGTTGATGCTGGAGATTATAAATGTGTCGCTAGTAATCCAGTCGGAAAAGCTTCTCATGGTGCAAAAGTTACAGTAGATGTTGCCAAAGTTTTTTTCACAAGGAATTTGCAAAATGAAATTATAGTCAACGAATACAAAACTCTAGAATTAAGCTGTGAAACATCCCATACTGTTTCTACGATATGGTGGCACAATGATAAAGAAATTAGCGGAATGGATCATCGCGAGATAATTCAGGAAGGACGTCTACATAAGTTACTTATTAAGAAGAGTGGTCTTTCCGACGCAGGAACATACAAATGTACTGTCAAGAATCAAATGACGTTTAGCAATGTTATTGTTAAGGCTACCAAACCAGAATTTGTCAGGAAATTGCAAGACTTTGAGGTAAAAGAACGCGATGTGGCGATTTTAGAAGTTGAGATCACATCTCAAACGGCCGATGTCACATGGCGAAAAGATGGTGAATTATTAACATCAAGCAAAGGAAAACTAGAATTTATGAAAGATGGTACCATAAGGAAACTTTTCATCAGGAATACATCAGTTCACGACGAAGGCGAATACATATGCGCTCTTCTAGATCAAGAGTGTACAGCGGAAGTTACAGTTGTCGAATTACCACCGGAGATCATTATCAAAATGCAAGACATAACTATAGCTACAGGAGAGAAAGCGACTTTCGACATAGAATTAACAAAAGGTGATGCTCTGGTACGCTGGTTCAAAGACGGACAAGAATTGCAATTTTCTGAGCACGTGCGATTGTCAATCGATGGCAAAAGACAAAAATTGAAAATTTATGACACTGAAGTAGAAGATGCAGGAATCTATTCCTGTCAAGTTGGTAATCAAACTTCGTCAGCCAGACTGACAGTCGAAGAATCCGAAGTAGATTTTATTAAAAAATTACCAGATATTACTTTAGTGCCTCTCAACATTGATGCAACTTTTCTTATCGAATTATCACGTGCCGATGTACCGGTAACATGGTTAAAGTAAGTTAAATTTTATCAAGATAAAAAAATATATTTGAAAAAGTTAATTTTTTTAACAATTATGATTAATAAAATTGAAACAAATATGTATAGTATATATAATATATGTATATATAGTATATATAAACTTTATATTGTATATATAATATACATAAACTTATGTGAAATTTGTGTAGGAAAAATGAAATGATCGATTGTGCGCAAACATCGAAATATAATGTTATTGACGAAGGAAATATTAAAAAGCTTATTGTTAAAAAGTGCACAACCGAAGATATCGCTGAATATACTGCTGCAGTTGCCAATGTGAAAACATCATCGAGATTAAAAATCAAAGGTAAATTTTAAAAGATTGCGTATTATATTTTCTTTAAGCATATAAATAACTTAAAATAGATCTTATGTACCCGTGGATGTGCATGCATACGTGCGTGAGGTATTTTCAATAGTATTATGGCGAATTCGATTAAAGGCACTGAGGCATATAAAGCTATTGTACATTAATTTAATTTGAGTATAAATAAAAGTAAAATATAAATATTTCGAATTATAAAATACATTTTACCTAACAGCACAATAAAGTGTATTGAGTATTTCACGGTTTCTATATTTATAACAAATATTTATGTCAAATGATGTGTACATGATGGTTTTAATGTACACTAGTGCGTACTGAAAGCGTTCAATCGAATTCGATATTAATCTTCGCTCTCTTCTTTATTAGCCTATAATAATTTGGATATTATTTCATTTATATGCGTCTCTTGTTGTAGTTATTGAAACATCACCTAAAATTCATCCTGATACGCTTAAAAAATACAAAACGATGAAAGACGATGACATTGATATTGTTGTCAAATTCGCGGCTAAGCCAATTCCAATTGATGAGTGGAGCGTCAATGGCCGTATTCTTAAAAAATCTAAACGAATTATTCCATCCATTGATGAATGTTCAGCCGTCTTAATAATCAGAGACGTACAAGAGAAAGATTGTGGTGATTATACTTTAAAATTAACTAATCCACATGGAGAGGATAGTATAGAAATTAACGTCATTGTTGTGCGTAAGTATTTACAAATTTACATACATATTGTACATTTATATATTACGTATTTACATGTATATATCGATATAATAATTTGAATAATTTTCGGAAGGAAATCTCGATTTCATTAAAAATAAATATAATAATAAAAAAGATATATATAAACATTACAGAGGTACCCGGTGCACCAGGAATTCCAGAACCTCTTGAAATAACCGATGATAGCATTACTCTTCATTGGAAGAAACCAGATATAGATGGACACTCCTCGATCATAGAATACATTTTAGAATATCAAGAAAAGACAGAAACTTCGTAAGTAATACAAAATTTTGTGACTTGTTAAAGAAAAAAACAAAAAATCTAAACATGTGTTTTCTTATACATATCTCTATACAATTTGTAATCAAGAAAATAATTTAATTTCAAGATGGAGCAGAATCACGGAAATAATAATTGAAACTACATATAAATTAACCAACTTAATCACCGACAAGGAATATACTTTCCGTGTAACAGCTGTTAATGAAGCTGGATCAGGAGAAGCATCGTTAAATACGCCATATCTAAAAATTTCCAAGTTATCAGCGTCTGAGCCACCGACCGTTCTTGAAGCACTTAAAAGTATCGTCATTGGATTAGAAGAGACCGTCACACTTTCTTGCGTAATCGGTGGTGTACCGACACCTCGTATTACATGGTAATTTTTCATTATTTCATTTTTTATCTAATTGCGGCAGTTAAATATGTCAATTGCTGCATTCGAGATGTATTGTGAAAATTATTTTCTAGGTTAAAAGATGGCAAAGCCTTCGAAGATAGTGATATTACATACGAAAACCATTTAGCTAAATATACTATTCGAAAAACCACTGAGACATCTTCGGCCACATTTACAGTTAAAGCTCAAAATGATGCAGGAATGGCGGAAACATCATGTCAATTAAAAATTCAAGAATCTCCAAAGATCACTTGCGACGAAAATTTAAGAAAGCAGAGACTAACAGTGGGCGATAAATGGAAAGCCGAGATTCGTTTCAGTGGTTTCCCAAAACCGGAAGTAATGTGGACGATAAATAACAAAACAATAATTGATAAGCGCATTTCCATTGAGACTAAGGAAAATACATCTATTATTATGATTTCTTCGCTTGTTAGAAATGACACAGCTATCTATACAGTGAAAGTATCGAACGAAGCCGGTAGTTCATCGATGGAATGTCATCTTCGTGTTATAGGTTGATAACTTTTTATATTGGTCAAACAATGATAAAAGTTTAAAGTAAGTTTAAAATTAGTAATGTGCATATTTATTACGTATTGCAGATAAACCAAGCAAACCCCAGGGACCAGTTATCGCGAAAGAAATTAGACAAGATCGCGTCACCATAGAATGGCGACCGCCGATCGATGATGGTGGTGTTGAACTGGAAAGATATACCATCGAGAAATGCGAAATGAATAAGAAAGTTTGGACAAAAGTAGGTGATGTTGACAAAGAAGTTGAGAATTTCTGTGTGCAGAAATTGCAGCAAGATGTCGACTACCTATTCAGAATAGTTGCTAGAAACTCAGTCGGATCCTCAGATCCTTTGGAATCCGAACCAATTCGAACAAGAACTTCATTCGGTAAAAAAAGATTATGTTTTTTTGTGTAATTAAATATTAAAAAAGAATATTAAGGAAATTAAACATAATTTTATAAAATATTTAAATATACATATATTTTATTGGTTTGATAATTAGAAACACCGGGCCCACCGAGAGGACCACTCGAAGTTTTTGGAATGACGGAAACATCATTCACATTAAAATGGGAACCACCAAAGAATGATGGCGGGACTCCTATTATAGAATACATTATCGAAATGAAGGAGACATCTAAGAAAACTTGGCAAAAAGTTAGTACTACATTATCTGAGCACTAAGACACTTACATTGTCCACAACACTAAAACAACCATTTCTTTATCTTTAATGCTTTCTTAGATTGCGAATACAAAGGGGGAAGTCAATAATGTTATTGTATCCGATTTAAAACCGGACACATCGTACAATTTCCGAATAATAGCTAAAAATAACGTTGGTATTGGTCCTCCGTATACAGCAGAAGAAGTGATTACAACCGGTAAACAACCGAGTAAGTTTATTAATTATTTTTTAAATATTTTATCATATTACTGATTTTCAATTATTATTAATCTCCCAATATAACTAGTCTAATAATAAATACGATCGCTTTTGCTTTTGCTTAGAATTAATAAAGCTTACAGAAAACAGCATATACGCGCTACTAGGCATATTTCCATCAATCAAAACTACCGCCATTAAGAGTGAGTTCTTATTTTTATTCTTCATGTTCTATTCTTTGATTATATCCTTGCATTTTCTATTAACAAATTTGATTAAACGCAATAGTATGTATTGGTGTATATTAAATCAGGAGACACGCTAGTGTCTCGGCGCTAAATCAAGCGTAGTGATATAATTTACCGTATTATATACTGATCTAATCTGAGAATAGAAATAAAATGTAAATATCTTGATTAATGAAATGCCCAATACATATTTTACAAAGCAACACAATAAAGTATATACAAATTTGCCATTTAATATATAGATATTTATATTACACTTTTACATTTCGACTTTTACACATCGATTTATATACGGCTATGCGTATTAATGCATCCAACCGATTTTGCTGATAGTCGTAAAACATAATTTTATATGAATTCTAATATAGCAAGATCTGTGTATATTTATATATATATTGAGCAAATAATAATTTAAATTTTCTTTAGCACCACCTTCGTGCCCGCTAAACGTCCGAGCAACAAATGTCACTAGCAAAAGCGTCACTCTCAGTTGGTCACCACCAACTACAACAGGAGGATCGGAATTGACAGGTGATAATATACGTGCAAATAAAATATAAACTTTTATAAAATGAATTTTCTATTTCGATATTGATTTAATATTATTTTCCTCTCACTATAGGTTATATAATCGAGAAGAGACCATTAATCGGAAAAGGCGCCAGATGGTCAAAAGTTGTCACTTTGGATGCTACAACACACCAATATTGTATAGAGAACCTAAAAGAAAGCGAATTCCTCTTTAGAATCTTTGCTGAAAATAGTTTAGGTCTTAGCATACCTACTAATTCCGAGCCGATCACGCTAAAAACTCATGCCAGTAAGTTAATTTATATATATAATATATGTATATATACTATATAGATACTATTATCAAATTATTGTATACATCTAATGGTAAAGTAACAATTTATACAATATGCTTTTTGAATTATTTGTAGATATTCCATCACCACCTACTGCTCCGTTAGAGATGAGACAGATTGCAGCGAATACAATGGTAATCGAATGGGGTAGACCCGAATCAGACGGTGGTGCATCTCTCGAGGGTTACAAAATTGCTATTAGAGACGCGAAGAAAACTATGTGGATGGAAGTGGGAAGAGTTAGCGCGGACATACAAAAATTGAACATTAGAGATCTGCAAGAGAATCACGAATATCTCGTAAGAATCTTCGCACGAAATGAGATCGGATTTAGCGATCATTTGGAATCGGAAGAACCCTTCAAGATCGTACCGACATCAGGTACGACTCTATCATTACTTTTATTTCTATCTTTCTCTACTTGATACTAGTTATTTATCTTTTTAAATAATAATAAGTAAAAACTCACATAGTTATTAAAGCCAACACCCTCTTTGATCAGGTATTGATACGGCTTCCTTTTTTATTGTAATTATCTTTTCATTATATAATATTCATCCTTCAAACTTGAGTTTAAACTTAAAACTTTAATCATTAAATCTGTTCCTTTGGCAGAACTGTCATGCGTAGAACCAATTGCAGAGGCTATAGACAAAGGTGAGACCGCATCGATCAGCTTTAGCACAGAAAACACAAGTTCATGGTTGAGAGAACATAATATGGATGCCGATATTCATTCATACGCGAGAGCAAGATTACTTAGGAAAGATGAATACTTTTTCCGTATTTGGCACTATGCTAAAAAGTTGTTTGAATAAGCATTTGTTATACATGTGTAACTTTGAACATTTCTATTATTATTGTAAAGTATCGACGGATATAATTGATCTTTTCCGCAATCGCAATTTTATTTTTTCATCGAACGCTGCATTATGTATGTACATTATATCTCTCTCAATGTATTTAATCAATGTGCATGAGTCTAATTCTTGAAATAATGTATCGGTGATAGAGCCATGAATTGTTCCTTTTTAAAATTGATTTGCGTATAATGATTATACATATATGTCAAAACCAATTTACGTAAGACTGGATGGTGTTTACTGAGTGTTAATTTAGTTAGGGTAAAGTGATTTTCTTTTTGACGCTTTTATTAAAGCGCTCAAGAAATTGAACTTTATTGTACGAATGATTCAATTTTTATTCTAGTTTCGTGTTTTGAAATATTACAAATTACGCTTTCGTGCAGTTTTATAAATTTTATTTCCTGTCACTAATGCGCATTGTTAAAGTATTATGTATTTACTAGTTGGTAATGACAAGCATTATACTTGGAAAATTCTTTGAAATTTTCAAATATGCGGCATTCTACATCTATTAGTGACGTATCTATTTAGAGATGTGACAATGTAACGTTCGTTTCTATTTGTTTCTATTTCTTTGGCGAAGCTAGAGCATACGATTATCTTAGTATGTGTTCTCCAAGTATGTATTGATTGTTTCTTGTTATTATTATCCGCGATGTTAATTTAATTTTAATTAATATTATTAATCATATCGATATATCAAATTAACAAAATAAAGAAATATCACGCGTGTTTGGTAAGTGAGACGTGAAATATAGGTGCAATCGTGAACTATTATCAACCAACGACGCGTCGCATATTTCATATTATTTATGCAAAATTATATAATATTGTAAAATATTTTATTGATTAAATTGTTACAAATCAATATCACACAATATTTATTACCTAATAAATTTGTAATAGCATCACTTAGGATTTGCTCAGCGTAATTAAAAAAAGTTGCCGAATAATCAAATTAAATATTATATCAATTATAGTTATATTATTTGTAAGTAAGATCCTTTTCGCTGTTTATAGCCACATAATTAAATATCAGCACAAGATTTTATATTATATGCCATCATACGTATATCATATTTCAATAAAAAAATTCATCATTTACTTACCCAATATGTAACAGCGGAATTATATCTACCACGTAGCGCTACTGCATATACAGCATTGATTCTGTAACATAAAATAAGAAATATATAAGTTTCAAATTAAAACAATACTCCATAGAATCAACATTTCAAAAGATAATTCTATTAACATTTTAATGCATACAAAACTTTATTAACATTTTAATTAAATTGTACGTTTCTTTTTCATTAATTATTCGCAATTAATTGAGATAAAAAATAAATGAAGAAGAACTATTAATTTCATACACATAAAAAATGCCGGTAAAAAATTTGACATGCATGAATATGTATAATAATACATAACATACAAACATATACAAATATGTATAAATATTCATAAACATACATAATTGTATTTTAAATATCCATACGTAAGTGTACATTCTTCTTTCTTTTGTAAAATTATGTTTTAGTGTAATAAAAATAATAATAATAATGTGAAAACATAAAAAGTATTTAAAAGGATAATTTTTGTCTTAATTCTTTTCGAAAAAATCAAATTTAGAAAAATGTAAAACAAGTGCTCATATATAATTATATATAAAATTATACATAATTGTGAATAAACAATTTTTTTTATATTTCTCCAAATTTGATTTTTTTCTACAACAATGCTAAAATTATCCCTTTAATTGTTTTTACATTATTATTTTTTTTATTACACTAAAAAGTAATTTTACAAAAGAAAGAGGGATATGAACGTGCATTTTTTACTGGGTATCATACCTCAAGATGGCTACGCCAAAATTAATTTTATCTGACATAATTCTTTAAATCTCATCCATTTTGAGGTAACGGATCCATGAAGCTTCATATTCTTTTTTAATATAATTATAATATAATATGCATATATTGATATAATGTATCTGATAAATTTTTGATAGACAATTATATAAAACCACATTTCAATGATTTTTCATAGATTCGTTTTTTCATTAATAAAGTTTTTTGTCGTTCAACTCACCGTAACATTGCAACAACAGAGTTATCAGAGTTACACAACTAACAATAGGTACAATGATCCTGTAGTATACAAACATATAAAGAAAATCGAAATAATCAATGATACAAAAGAAAATTCTCTCTGTCTCTTACGCGTATGTAATTTTTTAATCGTTTTTCAATTAGTTAAATATCTATTAAAATCTATACAGCACCGATTGTTGCGCAAAATTTTCAGAAATGTTTTAATCTTTCACATCTCGATCGTGTGCAACGAAAGGATTCTGTAGTATATCATATGAAATACGCAACATTAAAGGACTCTGCAATATGTGTCCATGAAATATTTCAATACTCAATGAGAAATGATAATGGAATCGATATCGAATCGTTAAATTTGATGATTTCGATGTCAAATCGATATCGATTTGATGTCGATTCCATTGTCATTTCTCACTGGGCAGGAATGTTTTTAAAATCTATCATATACAATAAATTGGAAAACAGAACAAAAAATCATCATGACATTAAAATGGCTTCAAAATGTTTACTAAAAGTAATTTGTTAACCATTTGAGTCACTTTCAATCTATCTAATTATGTGTCTTGCATTATGACATACGTGGCTAAATTGTATTTATTTTGTATCCGTTTTTTTATTAAAAGGAATGTAATATTCAATACCTTTTTTATGCACTTGGCGTATATTTTTTTTTTCTTAAAGAGGTTTTTTTTAGAGATTTCACTGTTTTTTGTAAATTTTTGAGAAGACAATGTCATCGACGCCAGGAATCGCTCGAAATCGCCCGGAGTCATTCGGACTCGATCCGGAGTCGCCCGAAATGTCCCGGAGTTGCTCGGCGTCGCCTCGGTCGCCCAAAGTTATTAGAGGTTATTAAAGTTCAATATTAATAAAAATAGTGCAATTCTTTGATCTGGGGGTCAATTGTGTATGTATCTCGAAATGAGGTGAAAATAGATCTGTTCGCGTTGCATGCACTTTTTGCATGTTTGTTTTCTCTCCTTTCAAAACCAAATATATATCTATCTCATTTTAAGTGTAAAAATATTTGGAGATTTTATGCAACGCGACAGACCTAATTACAAAAGTGAGTAAAAGTTACTAGATATTAACCAATTAAATTATGAAAGTTCTAGTGAATTTGTTCACTTTTGTAGAACTATTTGTTCACTTTTTTTTAGATTAATGATACTTTCACATGCAGCATACTTGCAAGTTAC